AACTTAGTGCACGCTAATCAAAATATACAATTTTTACTCATTATTTGCATTTAAAATATTTAGAAAATGGGTAAAACATCAGTATCAAAAGAAATCAAAGAAAGAATTATCACCTTGCACCTTGCTGGTAATTCTACAAGAAAAGTTCAGTTGATTCTCAAGAACGTATCACAGTCATGTGTCACTAAAACAATAGCTAAGTGGAAAAAAACAGGTAGCACATTAGATAAAATCAGATCCGGAAGACCCAGAAAAACAATTACCACTGATGATAATAGTATATACAGAATTGCCAGAAAAAATCCTAAGTATAGTGCCAAACAAATTGCTCAAGAAATAAATCTAGCTCTTAAAAATGACATCTCAAGGCAGACAGTAAATAGAAGATTAATTGATCGTAAACTATGCTCGTATACTGCTGCTAGAAAACCAATGCTTAAAAGATCAGATCGACTCAAACGGCTACAATTTTGCAAGAAAATTCTTAAGATGAGTGATAGTGATATAAAAAAAATTGTATTCAGCGACGAATCGAATTATGCAGTCGTTAATCGAAAAAAAAGAGTAACTGTTCGAAGACACCATAATGAGAAGTTTCATAATCGTTTCATTGTACCTCGGTTACAGGGCGGAGGAGGTTCAGTTGGGATCTGGGGTTGTATCACGTATGATGGACCCGGACTATGCTACTTGTACACTGGTAGAATGGATCAATACAGATACATTGAGACGCTTGAAAATAATTTGATTCCAACAAGAGACTTATTTTTTGGAGATGAGCCAGAATGGAAATTTCAGCAAGATAATGCCCCTTGTCACAAAGCAAAAACAGTAACAGCTTGGTTTAAAGAAAATAAAATCAATTTACTCCAGTGGCCAGCTAGATCGCCAGATTTAAATCCAATGGAAAATGTATGGTCTGTGCTTGATCGAAAACTGACCAAAGCTCCTGTAACTTCAGCTGAAGAACTACGAAAAAGTTTAAAAGAGTTGTTTGATGGCTTGTCCTTTGAATATTGTCGAAATCTTTTTGAATCTATTAAAAGAAGATGTAGACTTTGCATAGCTAACAAAGGCGGTCACATACCTTATTAACTTGACTTACAGTTTAAAGTGAAAAGTCCTGAGTCTAAACTTATGAACAAGATTTTTATAGATATCTTTTTACATGATTTTGCTATTTTCAAAATAAAATACTTTAAACTTGTTTTTCTTTTCAAGTCTTTTATATATATTAAAGAGAATTTCATAAATAATAAACTGGATTAAAAATAAAATTAAAAACAAAACAAAAAAGGCATTTTTTTAAATCACAAATCACTAAGAAACTATAAGTTTTATTCTGAGTCTAAACTTTTGATCACTAGTGTATATATATATATATATATATATATATATATATATATATATATATATATATATATACACACATATATATATATATATATATATATATATAATATATATATATATACATATATATATATATATATATATATATATATATATATATATATATATATATACATATACACGCACACATATATATATATATATATATATATATATATATATAAATATATATATATATATATATATATATATATATATATATATATATATATATATATATATATATATATTGACAAGTGCCATTTTGCAGCGAACAAGACAAGTAGAACTTTGTTGGTTTGTTTCATTTTCTTAAGTCTGGTCCGTGTCAACGTCACGGAAGTTTTTTAATAATTAAAGGAAGTATCCAGAAGTTTCCAGAATTTTCCAGAACCATGCAGAAACTTCCATAAGTTTCCAGAAGAAGCATCTGGAAGCATCCACAAGCATCCAGAAGAATTCAGACGCATCCAGAAGCATAGAAAAGAAGCATCTAGAATCTTCCAGAACAGGTTCACACAGGTTCATTTTACTAAATAAGAGACATGTAAACCGACATGTAATTCAGTCAGTATATGGAAGTCAATCAGTCGTTATTATCAAGACAGTTTATCGAAGTGAATTTTATCAAAGTGCTTTATCGAAGAAATCAATACAAGAAGTGAAATAGAACAAGTGTTTCATTACATCAATACAGTCCACATCCAACCAAGACGTTGTGTTCCACAGAGCATTATTGTATCATCACAAGGTAAACCTTGAGAAGCGTGATTATTTATTTTTATTATTTTTATGATTTTAAGTGCAAAAATGGCTCCCGACAGTCTTGGATTGGAACTAAGAAAGAAAATTATTGGCGATTACGTAAGTGAAATGTCACAAAAAAGTATTTGTGATAAATATTGCGTGAAAAAATGGACCGTATCAAGACTATGTTCCAAATATTGTTCTACGGGGAAGTTGGCAGCAGATTATAAAGGTGGAAGACCGCGTTCCACCACTTCTAGAGAGGATTCTACGATCGTCAGATTCGTTAAGAAGGATCGCTGGATATCATCAGTCGAGATACATAAGCAATTAGAGCTGCCTGTATCGGACCGAACAATCACACGACGTGCTGTCGAAAACGGATTGTTTTCTCGACGCCCTGCAAAGAAACCGCTGCTTTCACTAAAAAACCAGAAGAAAAAACTCCTATTTGCTACATCTCATATTGACTGGAATGTGCAGTAAAGGCGAACTGTCCTATTCATTGATGAATCAAAGTTCAACATCATTGGGAGCGATGGCATTTGCAATGTGTATGTCGACCGGCCGGAAAACGCCTCGATTTACGTTACTGCCATAAGATCGTGAAGCATGATGGAGGCAATGTAATGGTCTGGAGGTGTTTTTCTGCTAACGGTCTAGGTCCAATACATCGATGGAATAATAGACCGTCGATGGAATAATGGACCGTTTCATGTATAAAAATATCCTGAAAGATGTTGTTACCTCATTCTGAATGGAATATGCCAAAAAATGGGTTTTTCAGCAAGACAACGATCCGAAACACACTGCAAAAGTAGTCAAGCAGTGGTTTCAAACCAACCACCTATCGGTTTATCCGCCTCAAGCCCGCATCTCAACCCTAGCGAGAATCTGTGGGAGATCGTCAACCGCAAAATTAATCGTGAAGGTGTTTGTAATAAGGATCAACTGTTTGAACAAATCCAAAAGGCATGGGCAGCGATTCCATAAAGTTTAATTGATCACCTGATCGACTCTATGCCTCGAAGATGCAAGGCTGTAATTGACAACAAAGGATTCGCCACGAAATATTGATAACGAAATACAGCTTGGTCAACATTTTGTGGAGTTGCACTTGTTTTGTCCAGAAGTAAATCAACTTTTTTTAATATTTTTGATTAATTTATTAATTTTCGTGTACAAATAATGAACTTTGTGATGAATAAAACTTGAAGAACGTTGTCCCTAAACAGTTCCATAATTATTTCTCTAATTTGAAAAAATGCAACACTTTTATATAAAGAAACTAAACTAGCATTATTTGGTTGCATTTGTTTTGTCCGATACTGTATGTATGTATGTGTGTATATATATATATATATATATATATATATATATATATATATATATATATATATATATATATATATATATATATATATATATTATATATATATATATATTTATATATTTATATATATATATATATAAATATATATATATATATATATATATATATATATATATATATATATATATATATATATATATATATATATATATATATATATATGTATATGTATATATATAAAAGTCTAATAAAGAATTTTGAAAAAACCGTTTTTTTAGTATTATCATTATTTTTTTTAATGTAGTTTTTGAATAAGTATTCATAGTTTAAAATCAAATTTATAGCTCAAAAGTTAAACATACATCGCTTTTTTCCATTCCACATTGTTGAGTAAAATTTAAAACGTCTTCTTTTGTGTAAGTGCTATTAAACGATGCTGAAACAGTATTTAATTTTACTAAATGTTTAATACTTTCGTTATTAACTAAAAACTTTAAAAATGTTCCATGTCCAAGATCATTAAAACATTCATAATTTTTATTGATTTCTGATGTTATCTGCCTTTCCATTATAAACAGTGACTCAATTGTAAAGTCTGTATTTTGAGAAAGCCACTTTTTTACAGTTTCTATTACCAAGTCTAAAATATATAGTTTTAAAAAATTTATAAACACTCATAAAAAACATTTACATTTATCTTAAATTTCCTCTCAACAAAATGATTGCAGACAGTAGAAACGAATTTAATAGAAAGAAAGTACTATAGCTAATCAGAAAGTAACTGTTAGAGGCAAAAGATTAGTGAAATAGTAGTTAAAAATATTGTAGATGATTGGTTGATGTATGTTATTGTTAATTTATAATTAAATATAGTTGATTATTAAAAACTAAATAAAAGCTTTTTCTAGGAAAAAAAAATGAAACTTTGAATCCTTTCCTTTTCTTTTTTTTTTTAATTTTTATTATACTCACTTCCCTAAGGCAAAGCAAGTTAGTTTTTGTAACTTAAAAAAAAACACTTACATTTTGGAGTTACAGAATAACTTGATTGATGTTTGACATTTAAACTTTCTTTCTTGTTCTCTTTTAACAACTTTTGTATGGTTTCATCAAAACCTAAACATCTTAGAATATCAATATCATCCAACCCTATAACTTTGAGAGGAGCTGTTAAAAGCACTATATGAACGATACGACTTAAAAACACATCTTGCTTAACAGATTTTAGGAACTGCATAAATTTATATAATGTTTGTGGTACTAAAGCATTTAATGAAGAAGAACCATTGGAAAAATACTTAGATACCTCCAGTCTCATATGAGTCAGCATAGTGTGAATTTCTTCGAAAGCATCAAACAACCTCATTCCACATAATTTCTCTATAAGGTTTTGTGGCCTGCTTGATCTTACAATTTCATTTAACTTATGGTCAAAGTATAAATCAAGTTCTTTATGAAGTTGATCATTAAAATACTTTATTTGATCACACTCATTTTGCATATCTCCAAACTTAGCTTTTTTGATAACCTAAAGAAATGAATTTTAATCATTCTTAATAACTAATTCCTTGGATAAATATTTACATCATTATAACATCTTATAACATTAAAATTAATTCTTTATAAAATTAAAAAAAAAAATTAATAAAATAAACAAAATTAAAAAATGACATTAAATAAGTTTAATCAAAACTATTACAATGAAAATATTAAAAATAAAAATAAAAATAACAATCATAGAAAAAAAAATAATAATAATAATAATAACTAAAGAAAATAATAGTAATAAGAAGTTAGATATATAAAAAAAATTTTCTTGATCTAAAGGACTAATAAAAGTAAATATAATTAAATTTTTCACTAAAATGGGTTTTAAATTGATGTTTTCATTTAATTTTTTTATTCAAATTGTTTTCCAATAAAAAGTGAAACAAAAAAATTTGGTTTAATAAATAGAATTATATTTCCTTAAGTTTAAGAATATGCTTAAAAACGTTAAAGCAAAAAAGTTGCTGGTTTCTATTAGCATTAATTAACTATTATAAATAAAAAATTAATAAAAACGAACAAATGTATATTTTGATAAACTTAAAGTAGTAAAATAAATAATATCAAATTGTTGATAAAATAATAATTTAAATTAATAATAATAAGTTAATTTAGTGCAACGTTTTGAAAAAAAAAAAAAACAGGCTGATTTGTTAAAAAAAGAAGGAATGAAGAAAAAAGTCGCTTTAACTTAATTTCTCTTTCCAATTTTTCGCTTTAACCATATTCATAAGAACAGTCTGGCCAGTTGGGTCGTTCTCGCAAGATTCTATTGTTTTTAAACAATAAAAGTTAAAGCTTTGAATTTATGTTGAAAATAGTTTATTTATCGTCACCAGACTACCAATAAGTGCACTAAAATCTAAAAAATGGCGAACTTAATAGATGATATATTCATCAGTTACTTCATATTAAATCTAGAGTCAAATTTTTTTTTTAAAAACATAAGTTTATCAATAATGTTAGTTCTTTTCTTATTGAAATTCTGAGTAGAAACGCTTTAACCAAATTAACTTCTACCAGTGTATGATAAAATGTAAGCCAGAGCATAAATTCAAACGCCACATAACAAAGCAGGATTCAAATAGTGTCTCTTTAACACAGCAAATAAATGCATGTACTGAGGTTAAGCAAACGTGTTCTACAGATAAGTTTATGAATTTTGTATAAAAAAAAAACATTCTCATTGTTATAAACGATCTTTGATGCATTCTTATTGTTATTAACGATATTTGCTGTCTTCCATATAGCAGAGATGAGCTTTCAAAGTACATATTTTTAGATGATACGAAGCTATCATTGAAGTTATAATAGTTATTTATAATGAAGTTGAAGTTTTTTTATCCAAATTTTTATAAATTTGCAAGTCAGAAAGGATTTTTCTCACAGATTCTCACCTTTTGTAGGATACAACTTTGCTAATCATATTTAGAAAACAGAAAAAAATAATAGTTAAATATTTTGGTGGATAGGTAAATAGTACTTTTAAAGAATAAGTTATTGCAAAAGTTGACTTAATTGAAAAACATTCTTAATTTTGTTGGCTGGAAAAATTGTAGAATAATTTTGAAGAGTGAATTTGTTGTACTAACAAAAAGTATAATGATTTAAAAAATTGAGGTGATCTTTGGTCTGTATGATCTTTGGTCTGTATGATCTTTGGTCTGTATGATCTTTGGTCTGTATGATCTGATGCTTTTTTTACAACTTAGAATAGCAGAATTAGCATTCAGAATTTCAACCAAAAAATTCATGTAAAAATAACCCGCTAACTGATTGCAGAATTACTTCAAGATGTTGAGGTTTATCTTACTTTTCAAAAAATTGTTATTTTAAGTTTTGAAATGGAATAAAAGGATAAGAATATTAGATGGAATAAAAGTCTTATCAAAGTCGTTTATTTACAGCAAAACATTGTTGGTACCTTTTAAATATATTGTATCAGGTACCGCCTGCACTAGGGTTATAAATTCAAATCTTTTATTTGTTTTAATTCGTTAATTTAAAAAAATGCTTATAGTATATTCTTCTACCACGTAGCTTACCTCAATCGAAATTAGTATTTTTACTGCAACATTAATCTACGATTTGTAGTACGAAAATAATTTGTTTACTATAACCAATAAATAAAAAAATAAAAACATTAAATTTTATCATAACAAAAATCGTTTTAATATTATTAAACTTAAAGAAATTCGTTAGTTCTTATATCAAATCTTATTTCATTGTTTCACAGACGAAGGGTTTTACTAGATTTTTGTTTTCTTAATTTGTTTATTTTAAAACTGTAAACTAGTGTGCAACCAACCGTAAAAAATTGTTAGCTGTTCACCCAAAATATTATTCAGTATGAAAATATTTAATCTTCTTTATTCGCAGTAAACAATAAAATATCTATATAAAGTACAATGAACAGCTGCCAAACTACTATACCTCATGTGTGCCCTTACTGTAAAGGAGAGCTTAAAACAATATACGGAATAAACCGTCCTCAGTCTACAAAAAACTAAAACCTCTTTAACACTCGAACCAAATACTAAAGTAATACCCTCAATTACAAAACAAAACGACATTATAACAGCATCCACTTCGTCTAACAATTTAGCGTTTAATCAAAAAAAGGACTACACATTAACACCTACGTATTCTAGAAAAACGACACCCGTAAGCATATTGTCTTCTATAAAAATGACACCCATAAGTATAACATCACATATAGTTCGCAGAAAACTACCTGATCTTCCTTCTCAAACAACAAATCATTCATTTAATGAGAATTTTAAAAATGTTCCCTTCTTGTCTGAAATAATGAACCATCTACCAGTTCCAAATAACAATGTCATGTGGGGAGTATACTCATATCAACAATTTAAAATGTTTGTGGATTCTACCTATGATGAGATCGTAAATTACCGAAGAAATATATTTAAAATTCCATCTGGAAAGGCAGGTAAAGAATTTATAGAGGAGCTAACCTTTTGGTTAAGAAAGTTTAATTCCACTTCTAGTTTAAATTCAATCACGCTGAAAGTTACAATGATTTTGCCGAATCTTGTTTTGCAAAAACCCTCCGCCAAATCAAAGTCCAAAGAACATACATTATGTTTAACTCGTAGGATTGACCTTTGGAAAAAAGGAGATACTGGTTTACTGTTAAAAGAGTTCGAAATATACAAAAAAAATTTGTAAACTCCAAAAATAAAAGATCTATGGACGATATATCTAGAATATTTGCCAAATTAATTATGGAAGGCAAAATCACTGCAGCGCTGAAATTTTTAGAAAAAAAGGCATCATCCAGCATACTACCACTATCAGACAACACATTAAAAGACCTTAAAAGCAAACACCCTAAACCCTCGCGAGTAGAAGATTATAGCTTACTGTTTGGTCCAATTAATTTAATCCCAAAATGTTTCTTCGATTGTATTGATGAGCAACTAGTTATGAAAGCAGCATTTACAACTAAAGGATCTGCTGGACCATCAAGAATGGATTCCGATATTTATCGCCGCATCCTATATTCTAAAAACTTCATCAAAGAAGGTAAAGAACTCCGAAAAGAAATTGCTAAAATGACACAAAACTTACTAACAGACACATATGAACCAACATTTCTAGAAGCTTTCACTGCTTGTCGATTAATTCCTCTAGATAAAAATCCAGGTATTAGGCCAATTGGAGTAGGAGAAGTACAAGGCGTATCATAGGTAAAGTAAGTAGCTGGAGTTTCAACAGTGAGATAAAAGAGGCAGCCGGGCCATTACAAACATGTGCTGGACATGGGGCAGGAACCGAAGCAGCTGTACATGCCATGAAGGAAATATTCGACAATGTGCAAACAGATGCAATACTTATGATTGACGCAAAGAACGCTTTTAATTGTATGAATCGACAAGTCGCCTTACACAACATCCAGATCATTTTTCCATTAATTTCAATTTACTTAATAAATACTTATCGAAATCCATTGAGGCTTTTTGTAGCAGGGGGTAAAGAAATATCATCCCAAGAAGGCACAACTCAAGGTGATCCCCTTGCTATGTCATGGTACTCTTGTAACACCACGATTATTATAGAACACTTACTTGTAAATTACCCACAAGTTAAGCAGGTGTGGTTAGCAGACGATGCTGCAGCTAGTGGAAGCATTGCAAACTTACATAACTGGTATCAACACCTTATTGATGAAGGATGTAAACATGACTACTATGTAAACCAATCTAAATGCTGGTTAATTGTAAAATCCCCCTCATTAGCAAAGAATGCAGGAATAGTATTTGGTAAATCGGTCAACATAACTACAGAGGGTCAACGACATTTGGGTTCAGTAATAGGTTCGCAAAATTTTAAGGACAAATATTGCACTGAGAAAGTAGCAAAATGGTTAACTGAGTTAAAACAACTTTGTAAAGTAGCTGAGACGCAACCACAGGCCGCTTTTATTGCGTTTACAAAAGGATTTCGTTCAAAATTTACATATTTCCTAAGAACTATTCTAAAATTTGAACAATATCTAGCGCCCATAGACGAAATACTTAGTCATTTGTTGTTGCCAACTCTTTTTGGAAAAGATACGCCGTTTGAGGATCACATTAGAAAACTTTTTACATTAACTCCTCGAGATGGAGGATTGGGTATACCTATACTAGTTGAAGAAGCGCCTCACCAGTTTTTACCAACCCATCTAAAAATCTTGTACAGCAAATTATAGATCAAGATACAATTTTAAAAACAAAAACTCTACCGGGAATGTTCTAGAAGATCTTGAAAAAATATTATCTACTGACAGATTTAAAGGGACTACCAGGTCCCGAGACATGTTGTGTTCATATTAAAGAGAATGTTAAAAAAAAACGTCTGAGCAAATTTTTTTTTATTAAATCTAATTAATAAATGTATACCAAGAAAAACAAATCTTGTTGTTTTAGTCGAAGCTCGTCTTCTCCGTTTTCTCTGGTATTTTGAGTATGTAAAATA